ACGGAGGGGTGTATGTATACTTGTGACAGGTTCTTTTAGGCTTTTTAATGGCTTTGCCTATACTGCAGTATAATGAGCTTTACTTTGAGAACTGAAGTAGACTTTAACTACCCTAGTTGGTTTTTTATGCCTAACTTTGTTTACTAACATCACCCATGTAAAAATATTCAATAAGAAGAGCATTATTGAATGTATTCTCGAAAAAACGAAAACGCAGTCTTGACCGTGATTACCTCATGCCATATTTTTTGCCGTTTTTAAAAATAGGAGAATGCGCTCTCGTCGACTACATTATATACAAACCTATCCAGAACAAAAATCAAAAAATGATTATGCTAATTATTGTCGAACAATAATAGATCAATATCCATTATTGAAATATCAAAAAGTTGGAACTGGAAAAGCTGAATATGTAAGTATTTATTCTGAAAAAATCGTCAGTTTTACGTTTGAAAGAGTTGCACTTCCTACTTTTTCGTAGAGTGATTTATCTGGTTTGTTATCAGAAAGTGTTCGAAATCGTCGTAGACGTACAAAGAAAAAATTTAAGAAAACAGATGAAGCAGATAAAGAAAATACAATATTGTCAACTACAATACATTTAACAACAAATAATTTACAAGATGTTCAACAAATTGATTCAATAGATCCATCAGATACAATAATAACAACAAGAGTGGATAGTCTTCCATTAGAAGCATTTAATGATGATGTTATGGAAGTTGAAGTAACGACGAATAAACGTAAATTTTAATTTTTTTCCGAAACCAACGTGCGTCCTTTCTTTTCTCAAGCTCTTTTGTGAGATTGGGAAGATCAGCTGAATAAATGTTGTAAGCTTTCAAGGCTGAATGCACCTTCTGTCGGTCCTCTTAAAAGAGATCTATCTTTGAAGAATTGTACAAGGTAATTCTTAAACCACAGATTAGTCATTTTTCCTACAACTAAGCAAAAACCTAGTTGAGGGTTTTGTGTCGCTGAGAATTTCTTTTGATTTGAAAACTTTTCAATTTAGAAGTTCACAAGATTTTACAAGATCCATTACAACAAAATAATTCAGTTAAACAAATTTTAAATGTTTCAAAAATAAAAAGTTGTGTAAATATGCAACCAGCACCACAATTAATTCATGTTAAAAATATTTCATCTCAAGCGTCATTTCAATCATTATTGAATGAACGATGTCCATCTACTCAAAGTATTTTAGTAGTACCAGGTGAATCAAAACGGCTTCGTGTTGTTAAATTATGTACTATTCTATGAAGTAACGCAAAGTTCATTTGTGTATTTATTTCTAACAGTATTACCAAAACAAAATCAAACAAATAGTCAAATAATACTTCCAAATGCAACAACTTGTGCAAATTTTTCACAAAGTAAGCTCTCAATATCTTTTATAGCTCAGGTTTCCTACATGAAACAACATAATATATTTAGATTCGACAATACAACTATCACAACCAAGTGTATTTCTATTCAATGATCGAGTACTCACACATGTACAATCTCGTAAGTATCGTTTCCCAAACGACCTGACATTTAAAAGTTATTCGTTTTGGTTAAAAAACACAAAAAGAAATGTATTTTTGCGGGTAGGATAAAACTCACATTCAACGTTCCTAATGGAGTTGAAAAAAGTGCTGCAAAGATCCTATTGCTCAATGAGATAATCTTACGTGTTATGTGTCTTGAAAACAGAAAATGGGCAAATGTAAAAAGTTTTGTAATCTTATTTATTTGTCATTAAAAACGAAATCAGTCAATAAGTCTTGACTAATAGTATTCATGCTTCTTTTACTCACTTTACTTTTCACGCTCTGATGAACATTCTTTATTAACGTGAACAACATCACGCGTAAAACATATTTTAAGAGAAAAACGAATATATTCTTGCTATCCGCAATCATTAGAGGCAATCTGTCAAGATTATTTTGTAGATATGGCTATACACATAGAGATATCCTAAGTACAAAATGATGAATAAAAAAAGCTTTTTACACACATCTGGCTTAATGAAAAAAGATTTTCTCTATACGGAAAATCATTTTTTTGCAGATCTCTAATAAAAATTTCGCAACTTCTCAACAGAGATACAAAGCTGTCCTAATTGACGTTGCAAGATCAAACAACATCAAAGGGGAGATGGAACTGAGTGTGAATTTGCAAAAAAAAGTATCTCTTTTGAGACGTAGCCAAAAATTTGGTTTTTGTTGTTTTTACATGCTTCCAAATGCAAGTAGAAGAAATAAAATAGAAAAATAAATAATTGAACAGAACAAAACAACACGAAAAAAAAATCAAATTTAAGTTGCATATAATATCGCATGAATCAACTAAATAAATATTAGAATTTCCAATTGTTTAATACAGAGAAACGAGCAATGGTTGAACAGGAGGGAAAATAACAGTTGTCATAATAAAAAAAACTAGTTTTATAATAATAAAGTCGAATTAAATTTCCTGATATTGGTATATATGATCCGAGGAGAGCAAATGGATATGAAATAGAATGCCGTAAAAAAGACGGTATGAAGTTCTCTCTTACGCTATAAAAAGGAAAAATACTATTATCCGTTCCAGAAGTCAAGGCACTCGATTGTTTTTTGAATAACTTTTGATACGAACAAGATGAAGACCTGTGGTTTTCGCCATTCGAAAGAGGAGACTTGGATGCATGTTTTCATTAAAATACTAAAAAGAACACGGAGTAGAGAATTCGATAGAAAATGCGAAGAATGTATGTTAATCATTTGAATACCTAGATTTTATCTTTGCCATAATCTATGTTTTTTTATAATCAGGACAATAGAGGAAACTTCAGTAGTTTTTCTCAATAGATGCTTTTAAGTTCTTGTTTTCAATTAAATTAATTACTTCTACAAAAAAGAAGGAAGAAGAAAACAAAGTTTGCGATATTGAAAACATATACTAGTAATATTGTTTTGAAAAAAATAAGCAATAACCTACTATTAATTTGCTTCTTTTTTATTTTACGTTTATAGAGGTCCCATATCACGTATAGAAAACAACTATATAGTACATTTCATTTCAGAACCAGCTACATGTATAACAAATTCATCTTCCAATGTAACTTTCATTCCACGTGCAGCAAGCACATCAAAAAATGTAAACAAACAACTTACAACTCCAAAAGAAAATATTAAAAGTAAAAATTACCGAAGAAAACTAATAGAACTATAAACACACGTTCAAAACAATAAACTTTGACTTCTGTTTTTGTTTGTTGTTTTAGGTACAACTGTTTGTGGTTCATATGATGTTCCAACGATAGCATCAGCGTCAATGACCAAACAAACACATAAAGAAATTCAAAATCAAGTGTTAAAGTCCAAAAGTAAAAGTGAAGGTTTATCATATGAAAATAGTATTATAAAATTACGTCAAATTGGTCGTTCAAGAACAAATTGTTCAACGAGTGAAATTCGTGAACATCTTCGAAGTACACATCGTTTAAGACATCACATTTTATCAAATGAAAAACATTTGACATTAAGTGATAAAATTATGAATCATTATGAATTATTTCGTAACGAAGAAATGGTCAGTATGACGATTATTTCTACATTTTCTACGATTTTCTACATTTTTTTCTACATCGTGTATATGGCAGATCCTAATTGGTTTCATTTATGGATAAGGTTTTGAATAAGAATAAAACAACTTTAACAGCAGAAGACAATTGCATTTTCATTTATTTGTAAAACACTAGCACTTTCGATGTCTAAGACATCATCTTCAGGTGAAAATAACATAATCTCATCTAAAACTACACTATAGAAAAACCCAGACATTAGCAAAGTAAACAAACACACGCTTTGAATGAAATGTGCATATAGAATGAAGTTAAATTCCTTTCATTTTCACTTTTTCTTTCCTGTTAAGAGACACTTGTCCTTCAGGAAATAGGACTAATGGCACTGAATCTTTAGCTAAGACCTTTCGATTCTCCCAATTCATTCGGTGTTTTTTCTCACGTTCGTGAACTGAGATTGCCAATTTTAAATCGCAATGTTGTTCAAACGTTTGAACAACATTGCGCTTTAAAATCAGCAATATTCTGGTAGACCTTAATTGGGATCTTTCCTATAGGGCTATGTCTAGGATTCTTATAAGGGAAATGGCTACTAGTCGAAAGAAGCTCCTGCGAGAAAAAAATTGGGTACAAAACATATTCCGTCAGACTTTGAAGCTCAGATTCTGCAGAACTTGTTTTAATAGAGTTGTTGCTATTTATCTGCATGCGGTTGGTTTTTCAGTTATTGTTTGGATATTCGTTGTTAAGACAATTTGATATTCAAAATATTGATGATGAAATCGAAAAAGTTCGAGTGATCATGAATAGAATAATTGAATTAGAAAATATTCCAACAACAACAAGTGTAAGCTCTTTGTTCGAATACTAAGTTTTTTTAATGAGAGTAGTTCAGTTTATTGCTTTTTGTTTATTTAGCAAAGTGAAATGGATTTTCAAGCAATAAACTCGTGCTGCAAAAAGTTTAATTGTCCACAAGTTTTTTTTAAGGTAAGCCATTTGACAACCATTGTGAAAAAACTTGCAATTTATTACAAATTTCCCTATTTTAGAATAATATTCCTTCGAATGATATTGGAATTTCATTAATATCAACAAAATCTGAATTCGATAAGGGAACAGTTATATTACCAGCTACTAAAACTACAATGGACATTAATACAAGTGGTTTAGAAAAAATTATTCTTACATTTATTGCAGCATTTGATGTTATTCATGGTGAATATAACAATGATTGTATGAGAATTATAAGTTTATTTACAACAGGTGAATTAAAAAACATATCCAATGATTATTGTGAATGGACATCAACATTAAAATTACACAATAATGAATAAGAACAGTTTCTTTTTATACGAAACTATCCGGTGTTTTTTTTTATTAATCGTTTGTCAGATTTCATACGTTTATGTTCTTGAACAGAATTTATTTTTGTCTATTTCTTTGTTTTTTATCTTATGTGATCATATACATAAATTTTTGTGATTTGAAATTGAACAGACAGATAAAAAAAAATTTTATTTTCTCAATTCATGTGTATTGAAAGATGATTAAAATTATTTTTATTTTTGAAAAACTGTTTGCTAAAAATTATTTTTAATTGGTTCTTTTTAAGAGAAAAACTGCTATATAAAAAAATTATATGTAAGAGAACAAAAATAAACAGCATAGTACGAAAATCTTGATATTTTTTTACATATATAGAATAATTTCCTTTGGAATAATCCTTTAGACACTGCAAGTGATGGTTAAAAGGGGTCAAATATTTGAAAAACATACTGACTATCCCGATAGTAATGTGAACAAATTTGGATTACTTCCTTTCACATTATACTGGCAAATTTCAAGTGAAAGTTTCTTATCTACTGCACTGCTGAAGTTCCCAAAAGTTACTTTAAGCCACAGAAAACTCATGCCCTACTTCCTGATTATTATCTTTTTCTGATATTACACATTCGAATGTTGCCGAAAAACAAGTAAAATGTTTGTTTCTTTTGAACTTTAATTCATTAACTTCTGGCTAAAACCTGAAAAGGCGAAGGAAAGGACGTATTACTAGATAAAAAAAGTCAATAATGACAGAATTCAAGGAACATTTAAGCCTTTTTTTGCTTTATTTTTCTTTACGAAATAACTACTAATATGGAAAAATGATCTGCAACAACATAAAATAATTCAAAACCAAAATAGTTAAGTAAAAACTGCGAAAAAATAGTTCAATTAATTTTCCATATTAGTAGTTATTTCGTAAAGAAAAATAAACAAAAACACGGTTGAAATCTTTCTTGATTTCTGTCATTATTGACTTTTTTTATCTAATAATACGTCCTTTCCTTCGGCTTTTGAGGATTTACCCAAAAGTTAATGAATTAAAGTTAATCTGTGAAAAAGAAACAAGCATTTTACTTGTTTTTTGTTTGTTTTTGTTTACACACCAACTTACACAGTAACGAAATATGTTCAGAACACACTTCTAGTTTCTGAATCCCTATTGGTCGAAAATGGCCCAATAGGAAAAAAAGAACATACTTCAAGTACGCCAAACTTGCATTGGAGCATGGTTAAAACACACTTCATCCGCGTTCTTTTTCCGCTAGTCAGCCAATGGCTGAAGGATGTTTAGACTGCGGATGAAGTGTGTTCTTTACATACTTAAAGTGTATTCTTTTCTGACAGTGTATCTGCACATGAGAACCTGTAAATAAAAAAAATCTGAATTTTGTAATTGAAAGTTGCCGATGTTGTATGTTATCAGTGTTTCGATAAAAACGTTTTTACATTTATCTCTATAACACAAATTTGTCTACGGTTTTGTAGAGAATTAAAAGATGAATCTTTTAAAAAGAAATTTAGCTCGAACAGATGAAAGCTAAAGAAGTTATTTTAAAATACTGCGAGGCTCATTCTTTCTGGCTTATCCGTTATTTCACGAACACATTGATGGTAGGAGTGATACCGACTAAAAAAACTGTTGTAACGGTGTTGTGATAGTTATAAGAGCGGCTTATATGTGATTGTGTAGAAAAACGTTTTATTTACCAAACCATCTGTTTAGAAGAGATATTTGCAATTCTTTTTTACGAGATTCCAAATCAAATTGTGTGAGTATTCAAACAAACGCTAGAAAGAACAAAAATGGCGCATGTCGATGCGGATTCTGTTTTTGTTCCAGTCTCAAATTAAGTCATTTGAACTAGTTTTGATTATTAGTAATAACGGGTGGCACAGTGGGCATCCAGGCGGAAATTAGGTGAAAAATCGAAGTTGCTCCTAATTCACATACAAATAGCGGAAAATGTAGCCCTTTCAAAGGGCTATCGAATGGTATATAAATGTCTATTTTGAAAATGGTTCCTACGACGAGAAATCACGGTACAC